TGTGTGACAGAGAATACAGGCAGTTTTCCATTTTATTATTACAAAAAAGTAAACCCGTTTTGTATAAAAAAAATAGTTTTACACAGTAGTAGCTTAAAATTAATTATAAAATAAATATCGAGATAAAACAAGAAAAATATATAAACACATATATAAATATATAGAAAACATTTTTATCAAATATTGACTTCAGCAATTTATTATAAAATTCTGTAACAATTTTTCCAGTGGTAAATATAATCAAAATTTACTCAGACGAATCAGGCCAAGTATTTAATAGCATAAACTAGATAAAATAATTTTGGTTTTTATCTTTTTGAGTGGATTATCCTAATGCAGAAACAGTTGAAGACTGATACAATTACATAAACGTGACCATTTTGATAATTTTTATACATGCCGATCCTCCATCAAGATTTATGAAAACCGTTGAAATGTAAAACAACCAGCTTTTCCCATCCACAAATACCAAGCAACTTTTATTGTCGTATAAAGAAGAAACTCAAAAGTGATCTTCAAGTCAGCATGAAACTACTTCTATATACATATTATAGTACTGTCTGTCCATGTAACTACTTCTATATAATTATAATAGTACTGTCTGTCCATGTAAGTACTTCTATATACACATAATATAATACTCAATAAACGTGATGTGTTTGAAAATTTTCCTCAAATTTACACGTGGCTTATTTATCATTCAAGCAGCTTTTGATCACCTATACCAGGGAAATGTTATTGATCCTAGAGTTTTCTGACCAGAAACATGAAGTTTAATAGGTAGAATATTAGTTTCAGGCTTAGTTTAGTGTTGGGGAAAGCTTTATGTATAATTTAAGAGGAAGATATCAAGTTATAATAAGTTGTCAATGTAGTTAAAGTCGATCGAAGGTCTTATAAAAGTAAATATGTATTATCACTATCGTATATAATACAAGGGATACAGGAAACTGTCAGCAAAAAGAATTGATATCTATATAAATACAACAGTACTGTCTGTCCATGATCGTTAGGTACAACAACCTGGTGAAACGTTGTAACCATAATTATAATACTCTATATATCCGACAACAAACAAGTTTTAATTGATAAACAATTATATCTAATTTGCAAAAAGAACAACACATGATTTGTTTACTATGGAAATGAATTTAAATCAATGTAAATATATTGTCAATATTGTCCAATGATAAAGAATATTTAATTAGAGGAAGTGACGTGTTATGTGAAACTTAAAACTTGTTTAATGTCGGATATGTAGAGTATAAAGTTTATGGTTACAACGTTTCACCAGTTTAACCTGGCACGACAGCTAATCCTCACTGTCCACCGGTAATTCCTGGACCTCTTTTATCAACAAGTAGTGAGACTGATAGTCACAATATAAATCCCATGTTTGGTATAACGGAGATTCGAATCCACGAGCTGAAGATTGCGAGTCGAGCGCTTTAACAACCAGGCCATGCCAGGCCTGTAAGGTTCATCCCAATAAGTAGACTAAAAAAGCTTTTGTACAACACAGAGTTCTGAGGAATCAAGAATTTAAGAAATCAAGTTTGATTAGTTGTGCTTATGTACGTTTGTCCCTGGTGCACTAAACATGTACGTTTGTCCCTGTTGCACTAGACATAACTTTCTGAAAATGACAAGAAACGACAGACAGGTAAAAACACGTATTATACATGATGAGACACTTATGAAATCAGAAACTAAATGTTTTGACCTTCACAAGTGAGAAATATATTTTGTGAAAGTTATATTCTGATAAATACGTAAATATTTCTAATTATATCAAGTCAATATTGGTGACAACTTTAAAAGTTGGCAAAACATTCAAGAGACCTTCCAACTACGAGGAATCTCAGGAAACGAATTCAGATCTACAGAAGCTAATTAAGCGCTCTGTCAAATATTGTTCAAAATAATTGTTGAAGTGAATATTAGTGTTTTTAGTTTGTTTTTCCTTTCGAAACACAGCAGCTGAAGTGGTTATAGACTGTACAGTAAACAATGTTAAAATAATTTAACGTAAAACGAACCCAAGTAAAATAGATAAATCACCAAATGACGACCCATACAATGGTTGCTGTGGTTAGAAATAATACCTGTAATCATTTAATATGAAATTTTCTTTTGATACGTTTTTCATTGAGATCCATATTATAATTAGTTACTGGTCCCATAATAACTCCTGATAGCCCAGGAGGCTGTTTTTTATATTTTGTTTTGCCGTGCAAAGCTATGGAATGGGCTATCTGCACTTCTTCCACCTTGGGGAATCGAGCCCCGGATTTTGGCATTGTAAATCCATAAGGTTACCCTTTACCCGCACGAGGAAGAGTTAATAAGAAATTAAAATGCATTTAAAGCTTAACAGGTAATTAAAATATATTCAAAAGACAGCGTATTTGAACTGATTCGAGGAGAAAATAATTAAGTTCAGCTTATATTTATTTCTAGCAAGAACTAAAAATAGTAGTATTTTTATGTTTATTAAAAGTCTATATATACTAAAACTGTCCCTGTGATCTATAAAATAGAGTTCTACTGGTACGTAAAAACATGCTAGTATATTATAGGCACCAAATTCACATCCACAATGAATTAAAAACCGTTATATATCTTAAATCAGCACAGTTAACTCTCTTGTCTTTCACTCTTAATTAGGGACGGCTAGTACAGAAAGCTCTCGTGTAGCCTTGAGCTAAATGCAAAATAAATATTCAATTTTAGTTACCACCAGAGATATTAACAGCATCTGTTTCGTATATTAACTTATTTCAATATGCACTCTAGGATCGTTCACTTAGTGTTAAAATCAGTAACAACCACAGTAAAATGGCCGCAAATATTTTAAGGGGTTTTTAATACTTTTTGTTTAACTATTGGTGAAGTCGATCATTTTTCGTCTTTCTCGTACGTGTAATTTGTAAGTCACTTAAATAAAT